ATGGTGCAAACTGTTGGTGCTATAAATCTTGAATAATAATCATTTTTTTAACTCACATTCTAAATCTATACCATCAGATCACAAATAACAGAAACACAAACTAACTGAGATGTGAGAACACAGAATATGAATGCAATATCACTTGTAATAGATCCCCAAAAATCAAAGCATGTGTACACCTAAATATGTCACCTTTATCTCACATCAGAGCTAAAAAGTACAAGTCAAAAGCCTGAAATCCACAGCTGGGGGCGATCAGACAACAAGAAAGCCAGCAAAGGGCATGAGTTACAACCCTCCACTAGTCTACAGGCCAGCGATGAGCTGTGAGATGAAGGCAGGGGTTAATGGCAGCCCACACAATGCCTGGGAATCTGGCTGCCCATTGTCACACGATCAGGGCTGGTTAAGCCACTTAGGGGATAAAGCTGAAGTATCACGACTGTTTCCTGCCAGTGTGCACCAGGGTGGCCACCATCAGCTGTCACTTCCTAGCCCCACAGTGCACACATAGGACTATAAAAGGGTAGCCGATCCCCAGCAGCGGTGCCCCGGCACAGGATCGGGCTGTCATCGGCTTTTAGCAAGTTAAAAGTGTTGGAAAGTTTGAAGGCATTGCCCATCGCTTATAGCTCCACCCCTAACCCCGTTGTGAAAACAGAAAACACACGGGATAACCCCCTCCCTCCACCTACTTCCCCCCTCATGCCAAGCAATGAGACTCCAGCTGGAGCAATAGTGCCCACTAGCTCCCCCCTCTTACCATGATCAGAGTGTGGTTCCTGTGCTCGATGGTGCCGCTGCCCGCTAGCTCTCCATCGTGCGGCTGCTGCTTGGCCGGGTGGGGATTGTGCTGCTGGTGAGGATGAGGATGGTGCTGCTGGTGGTGTTGCTGCTGCTTGCTGACACCGGCCCCAGTAGTTGATCCCGCAGTAGGTCCCCCTTGGCTGGCGCCTGACTTCTTGGCCCTTTGCTCCAGTGTCCTCTGATAGAGATTCACCGTGTCCCTTCTCTCCATTTCCAGTTGCTCCGCCTGGGCTTGCTGGTACCTGCTCTCGCAGTTGACATGGTGCCTCCTGCAGCCCTCTATCCTCTGCCGGAGCCTCTCCACCACGGTGCTGTGCTTTGGAATGCTCACGTTGCTGCTATTGTTCGGCGCATTGGGGGCAGCAGTGCTGGGAGGGGTATTATTACCACTGTGACTACCAACCCCGATGCCGGTGCCAGCCCCGCCGATGCCGCTGCCCAGGGCACTGCTGATGCACAGGCTGCTGCCGCCGTTGGTGGAGGCAGCGGGGGCTGCGAAATCCCCCATGCTAGTCCCCGTGCACACTATTTTGGAAAAGAAGTTTGCAGTCCCCCTAGCCAAAAAAAACCAACAACCCCAAAACTGTCAGAGCCCCACTACTTTTGTTTTTTTTTGGGGGTGGGGGGGTGTTTAAATTTTTTGGGGGGGTGCTTTGCTTCACTGAATAAGGAGCTAGCCAGCATGGATGGCACCCAGAGTTCCACACCAAGTCAGCGCATCTCCTCTGCACAGAACCCACTACTTTTGTTTTTTTTTGGGGGTGGGGGGGTGTTTAAATTTTTTGGGGGGGTGCTTTGCTTCACTGGATCAGGAGCTAGCCAGCATGGATGGCACCCAGAGTTCCACACCAAGTCAGCGCATCTCCTCTGCACAGATCACCCCCCTCCTCTCTCCCCAGGGGAGGAGAGCAGGAGTTCAGGAGACGATCGGCAGATCAGCAGGTCTTCTTGTGTCCAAAAAAAAAAGAAAAATAGAAAAAAAAAAGAAAATAAAATCCAGTTTTTTTTCTGATCAGTTCCCAGCGACGAGCAGGACGTCCGAGGTGACCACACATGACTGTCACTTGCACACTAGTTGTCTGTGATCATGCCTAGGTATACACAACACACATGCACTCACTCCTCCTTCCCAGCCACAGCATTATCACACACGACTCTGCTCTCCCATCCGATTCCCCTTCCAGATAGAAAAAAAAAAAAAAGTTTACTTGTGTGTGCAGCAAAGCGTCCAAAGTACTTTTCTCTGGATGTCTTGCACAGTCAAAGGAAAGCAAAGGTGGAGGGGGTGAAATAAACAAGAGACTGCACAGGAGAACCGGTCAAATCAATGTATCTGTTTCTACATAAGTCATAAATCCTGCTGAAGGGAGAAGGAGGAGGCATAGGCTGATAAGGGGGAAGAGAACACACAGCTTAATAGCAGCAAAAAAAAAAAAAAAAGTAGAGCAGTGAAGGCAGCTGATAGAGCAGGGCTTGCTAATGCTGTTGCTTCTGCTGTTTTTTTGCTCCTCCTGCCACCATCACAATGATCAAGTGCTCTCCTCCTCCTCTCACTGCTTCCTCCTCCTTCATGCCAGCGGAGTGATATCAGGACAAGGGCTCAGTAAACAGCAGCAAGAGGCCGTGAGGCGGCCCCGGGGACCAGGTGCAAAACCAGGAGTAGAGCTAGAGCTCCACACAAGGACTGGAGCCTGCCAGGGAGGGGGGACAGGCAGAGGACAGTGCATGCACTCAACTTTTCACCTTCCCTTCATTCTGTGTGCACAGGGGAGGGAGCAGCAGGAAGAGCTCATCTTTGTTTTATGTGTCTCACTCACTGAACCTGCATGTCACTCTTTACACCGTACTGTATGGATGTGGGCTTCTTTTTCTGCTACCAACACTGAGATTGGTAGAACAGGGGCAGAGCCATGGGTGGTGTTACTGTACAGCAGACAGGTGACTGAGATGCTGCTACTACCAGCTTGCTGGTGCAGGGGGGGGTGAACAAGCATGGTGGGGATATCTGTGTGCCGACTTCCCTCGTTAACACCTTTGTGGATGTGACACGTCTTTTTAAAGTGACGCTAAACGCAGGTGTTAAATCTCATAAATGCATTCAATACCTTAACTATTAACAAAAATGTATCTAATTTGTGTATCACTCGGCCGTCGATCCTCAAATCATCTCTGAATTCACGCTGACACTGTCCTTCCTTCTGGAGGGTCGTCAGTTTTGTTATTAGTTAAAGTGACATTAAACCCTCAGATTTTTTTAACATAAAACAATACTGTAATGTGTGCCTTACTGTAATCCATGGTTGTTTCCCTTCTCTTTGCTGCTCTTCCTTTTAAATCCTCATGTCTTCTCATGTTTGGGGAGAACTTCCCTTTTCAGCTCAGGGCCTCTTCCTGTAGTGCTGGCTCAGGTTACAAGCCTATACAAACGTATACACAGACACCGTGTATCCATTCCTGAGACAAGGCAGTCTGCTGCAAAACAGAAGTTCTGCAGAGCATGAGAACAGATACAGATTTAAAAGGAAGAGCAGCAAAGAGAAGGGAAACTACCATGGATTACAGTAAGGCACACATTACAGTATTGGTTTATGTTAAAAAATCTGAGGGTTTAATGTCACTTTAAAGTGACACTTTTCCGAATTGAGAAAGCTAGTCGGATGACCAGCAATATGTCTTACAGTGAGTCCAGTACAGTGAGTCCAGTTGCCTTGCATGATTTTTTTTACAGATATACCATGACCTGGATGAATGAGAACCTTCACATACATAATCCCAGGCTTAACACCTTAAAAATGCATTCAAGTACTCTACTGTATTAACAAATAGGTACCTTATTTGTGTATCATTCAGCTGTAGACCCTCAAATCCTCTCTAAATTCATGCTGACACTGTCCTTCCTCCTGGAGGGTGGCTACTTTTATTCCCCATGGTCCCTGTGTGTGTTGTAAAGTAACCACCGCTCCAAGCCCGCTCCCGTGATGGACTACAATCTTAATTCAAATGAGTAAACTAAACGTGAGATTGTAGTTTATCATAGGAATGAGCTTGGAACGGTGGCTACTTTACAGCAGACACAGAGATCGTGGGGAACAAAAGTAGTCACCCTCCAGAAGGAAGGACAGTGTCAGCACCAATTCAGAGATGATTTCAGGATCTATAGATGAGTGATACACAAATAAGATAAATTTTTGTTAATAGTTAAGATACTTGAATGCATTTTTAATTTCGAACTCCTGAGTTTAGTGTCACTTTAATAGTTAATAGCGGTACAGAATTGGATGTCACCATTGTGAAATCTGTGTCCGTCCAGTTTTTTCCTCTTGTGATGGAGGAAAAAAAATGAAATGACCAGATCCCTTTTGGTCTTTGGGGAATGGGATGTAAACAGACATGTGTTTGTTTACATCAGATTTCCCCTGATCTGGCACGATTGGGTCTGGTGAAACAGAACACTGTTCCCTTTGTTTTTCCGGACCTGGCAGGAGCCATAGGTAACCCAGATGTAAACGGATGCATATTCATTTAGATTCAGCAGCTGCCCATAGACTTAAGGTGCGCATACACTGTACGATTATCTACGATAGTCGCGAGAAATCCCGCGATCGTACGATAATCGCAAAGTGTATGGAAGGCGTGCGACCGTTTCTACTGTACGATCGCACGTCTTCCGTCGAACAAGCAGGCTGGAAAACCCTCCGAGAATCGTACGATTCTCGGCGGGTTAGTGGCGTGCTTGTTCGACAACTGCCAAACGGGTCGGGGTGCGCACGCACACACTGCCCCATTCAGCATTGCAGTCATCAGAAGCCGGCACCTCAGCGGGGCGGGCTTGCGATGATCGCAAGTACGATCTGCCTGTCCATGATGGGCAGATCATACGTTTTTTTTTCTTACTTTACAACCCTCGCAAGACAAAAGTCTTGCGAGGGTTGTAAAGTGTATGGCCAGCTTTACATTGGGCATTCGATCGGGTCCGCCTGAGAAGCTGACAGGCGGACCCAATCAGACCTCCCGTGTGTAAGGGGCCTCAGGGAGCTTCAAGAGTGATACTGTATTTAAAGCAGAACTCCAGTTAAAACTTTTATTAATCCTTACTGTGGCGCTACTCCTGCACCACAAGGGCTAACTGCTCGTTTATGCCTAGGGTAAAAAAAAAAAAGTTGAGGTACTTTTTAAGATTTGACCCCTGAGTTTATTGTCATTTTAAGTTCGAATGTAGCCATGGTGAGAAAGGACTAAAGATTGGGCAACTCCAGCCCTCCAGTTGTGCTTTAACTACAACTCCCAACATGCCTCTGCCGCTGGGAGTCATGCCTGTAACTGTCAGTCTTGCAATACCTCATGGGACTTGTAGTTCCACAACAGCTGCTGGGTCAGAGTTTGCCAACCCTTGGGCTGAGGGCTCATTCACATCATAAACTGTGACTGGCGTTTTTTAGCAAGTGATCAAAACCAGTCACCACTAGGGCACGTAGAAAATAATTGTTTTCTATGTGTCCTGTTCCCACCACAACGCTGCAGACACAAAGATGCAGACATGCTGCTTTTTTTTTTTGCCGCGCAGAACACTGCGCTGCTGTGGGAAGAGCTGAATGGAGTGTGCACTTTGTACAGTATAAATTACGTTTTTTTTGTAAAAAGGAAACAGCGTGACGCACATCACCCCTCTTCCTGCCCTGCCAAACTAGACTGTACACTAAAACAGCATTTAGTGTGAATGAGCCCTACAGCAATCACAAAGCTCTCCAACCTTATCAGTGTGGAGCACAGTTAGGCTACATGCACTCGGGGCTTTTATGTGCGTCTGGGGATTCCTGCAACAAGAACCTGCTGTATCTGTCCGTGGCTGTCCACATCTAATCATATATGGAATGATTACCTGGGGACCAGGATATATGTTTGTTCCTGGATAGAGACACATTGCGTCCAGGGAAAAGCTTCTATTCCAGGGGTGGGCAACTTCGGCCCTCCAGCTGTTGTGAAACTACAAATCACATGAGATATTGCAAGACTCTGGCAGAGGCAAAGGCATAATGGGATTAGCAGATAAAGCACAACTGGAGGACTGGAGTAACTCACCTCTGATCTATCCCATTCCACACATAATTGTTTCATATGTGATTACATGCGGACAGATGTGGTCGCTGGGAGCTTGTCATTCACTTCAATGGGCACAGTGGCCACATCTGTATGGACACACCTGGGATTCTGGTGGCAAGAATCCGAAGGTGCTTGCCACAGGAGTCCCCAAAGGCACATAAAAGCCCTGTGTGAATGAGGCCTTTGGCTGTGTTCCCACCTTTGCGATGTGGAAGCATGTGCGTTACCTGCAGTGCACAAGGTCACATGTTACACTTTTAGATTCCCTACGGTGCCATTATTTCTTCATGGCACCCCAACACACCTAGCCATTGCATGTGCGTTGCATCACACCAAAATGCTTGATAATTTACCGCAATGTGCTCTGCAGCGCACTCCCATGTCTCATTGGATCACATATCACAAGGATGATTTCAGAAGAGCGAATCAGAGAATACTGAA